TTAAGAATATAAAACAGCTTACAGTGCTCTTTTTCAACATAAATCCCAAAAAAAAAAATGTAAAATTATAAATTGCAGCAAAAACATTTTTAGTAGCTTTGCCATTTCATAAATCTCTACCAGAGAGAAAAAGGTTAAAATAAAGGTCAACTAGATGTTGATATTGAACACATAAAAGAAAAATAGATCAATTGATCCAAATGTTTGGAATCTATATAAATTCAAGCATGAACAATTTATAATATATAGTCAGCGGCTAATTTGGTTCTGTAAACATAAACCAGAAAAGCACACAGCATAAATAGCCACGTTTAAAGCCAGAACCAAATGCATCGAATTCAAGCTACGAGCTTTTGATATTCAAATCTGACCTAGGGATCACAAAACTACCGATACACGACGCTGTTTTCAGCTCAGTCGAGATCCCTTTCGTGCCTCCGTATTGCATGGACTGCATAGGATAACACACACATATCAATGAAAAATTGGATCTTGCATGCAAACATATCCACGAAAGATTGAATCTTGAAATATGATAAATATATCAATGAAAAATTGAATCTTGTAGCCTAACATATCAAAGAGAGATTGAATTTTGAAACATGACAAACATATCAATCAAAAATTGAATATCGCAGGCTAACATATCAATGAAAGATTGAAACTTGAAATATATAGCAATGAAAGATTGAATCTTGCAAATAAAAAACATCAGATCTGATTCTTTAAAAATAAATAAAAACAAAAACTTAGACAACAAAACTTGGGAAAAATTGTACAAATTAATAAACTTTTTGCATCAAACAGATCCTGGGAAAAAATCAGATATACAAATTAATTCTATTTTTTATCAATCAGATCCTGGGAAAATTTCAGATATACAAATTAGTTACCTTTTGTATCAAACAGATCCGGTTCATCAGGGCACACTGGATCAAATTGATTCCACTTTTCTGTAACCAACAATTTTGAACAATTCATTCATATGAACTGACAAATAATTGATAACAAATCAATAAAAATCATATATTTTAATACTAAAATCTGAAAAATCTGAAAGAATTTGATTCGAATTGTCTGTAATCATAGTACCAGACATTACCTTGGTTTGAATCGACAAAAAAAAAATGANAAAAATGATAAAAAATAAACAAAAATTCAATCTTGCAATCAGATCCAACTTATAACACTAAGAACAAACAAGTTGGACGAGAAGACCGAGGGAAAACTCTAGATCACAAATTGAAATAACTTGTTTCTGTGAAAAAAAAAAAATACAAATTAAAGTTAAGAAAAATAATGTCTGAAAAAGGAAAAATCTAATTGATATACGGTACTGCAGAAAAGAAGATAGGAAAGAAGACAAAGTACAGAGGGCGGTGTGGTGTGGAACGTGGGGCGACAAACAAAGTACAAAAGACTTTTCAACCAGAGATCTAACGATCCAAAATTCATCGCGTTCCATCATAAGTCATGGCTAGGATTCTTTATCTGTCCCCTACGCTATTATTATTATATACTATATACTATTGTTCTACTATTTATTTAATTATTCATTTACTTGTTGTGACATATTATTTTATTTTTACCCTTTTATTTTATTTTTTTTATTCTCTAAATTATTATTTAGTTAGGCGGACGAGTGAACCGGGGCTACATCTGGTCCGGGTGGACATTTTGAAACAGTAACAAGTCACCCGGTCAAGTCTCGGTCGGCACGATTTTGACTGGTCGGACAAACTCAATTAGACACTGTTTATTTTTTGAAATATTTTTTTACAGAAAATAAAGTTATGTTATATATAGTTGTATGGTAAATGTTAATGAGGCCATGCCTTTGAGCCGTCCAATTTACATATTTTTTTATTTGTGAGATAAAATTAATTTATATAATTTAATTGTTTTTAAATTAATTATTTGATTATACAATTTACAAAATGATTCAACGGTATAATTGATGTTCCGAAACTCGGGCCAGGGTTGAAACCTATTTGTACTAGGCAGGCTTTTATGTAGAATCATAGACCCAAAATCACACATTTTATTTGTTAATAATAATAATATTTGATTTTAGAGAAAGTTAACACATTTTACCTCTATTCTCATTTTATCGTTAAATTTTTGAAATTAATATTTTATTTCGTTTTTGTTTTATTTATGTTAATGAGTTTTAATTTGTATTATCTTTTAGTTTAGTTTATGTTTACTTTTATTTTTAATGCTGTGAAAAATAAAAGCTTTGTAAATATGTAACTTTGAAGCTTTGGAGTCTGTCACCATGTTCATCTTATTTGATGAACTGAGTATGTTTGCAAATAATAATTGCGAAACTTTAGAGTTTGTTGCCTTAGACTTCTATATGTACTTCGTGAATAGTTTTATATATTCTACACGATAAATGCCATGTAACTCCAAACAACAGAATGTTTGTTTGTATCTCCTTTTCTTGTTCTACTCCCTCAAAGTATCACGTGGTGATAAATAACATTTTAATATTTTTTGTCATATTATCGAATATTCTCCATCCATAATATTTCTTTTTATATCTTGAGAAGTTAGGTCCCATGGAATTTTATTAGAATCTTCTATGCTCATTCGGAGCAGTAAAATGAACCCTTCCTTCTCGAGACTCAATGTTCCTTCAGCAATTCTCATGGTAGAGACTCATTCATTGATAAGAATTTCTCAAATTTCAATATATTGGGTGTTTAGATTCGACATTAATACATAAGGATGAATGTGATCCAACTTCGACTTTCCATAAGGAGTATATGGTGCCATTTCTATCATCAATCTAAAAAGTATATGGATTTCATTAAGCTCTGATCTCCTCGTAAAAAAATCTCTCGTTCGAGTAATGAAACTGAAATGTTTTTAGAAGAAGCAATCCAAAACTAGCATACTGTTAATTATGGGTTATATTCAAATAAGTTCTTTCAAAATTGACTATTGAAATAAAACTAGCATACTATTTTTCAAAATTTCTACTATTGAGAAGGCGTCGTGTACAAATATGACATTACTATCTACACATGTCATTCATCAAAAGGAATGAAACATGAGATAAAACGAGAAAGTGACATAAAAAAAATTCCTATTCTGATATATACCCACCTTTTAGTTTGTTTTTTGCAGTCTTGTGATACAAATTCTATTTCGTTACCATTTCTTAACAAGTAGGAACATATTAACGAACATATTAAGGACAAATGCTATAATTTGGAAGTTTGTTAAATTTGAGGTCCTTCTTTTCTACATAAAGTTGTTTATGCATACGGAATGACAATGAGATTCAATTTTTGTCAATTCTGACTTAAAACAATAATGAGTTTAACCGTAAAAAAACAAGTGCAAGCTCTCTGTAACTATACGAAGTCCACATACGAAATTAGAACACGAAAAATAAGTCATGTATTGGGACTCTTGGTTTTTTATTTATTTTTATTTTTTATTGCATTATGGTTCTATTTGATTAGTCTCAAATTACTTTACCCGTTTAATTTATACCTAATATTTTTTTTGTTTGAGATGAAAACGTTTATTGTGAGATTAAAGTTTGATTGATTTTGTGAAAATTGTACTAATTACCCCACAAACGTGGTCATTAGTATTTTAGTAAAATCGTATCAAAAGTAAATCTTCATGGACTATTATTAATGTCCCTCTATATATACGGTTTTTTTAATGAGCCATCCGATTGTTTTTGTTATGGAGCAATCTGCCTGCGTAGCTCCTAGATTTATAGTATGCATAAGTTGGTGATGGCCCATAGCAAGAAGTTTCTCCTGCTCATGACGACACACAGCAAATTTTTTGATAGACAATCGTTCTACAGTTTGGTGGATGGCCGGTGGAAGACCACTCAACTCCCCATCCTATACTGCAAGCGCATACTCGGATCCGACCACGAGTGGTTAGTGGACTACCTTAGCGGCGAGTCATGCATGTGGAATATGGAATATACCGATGCGCGAGATCAGCCTTCCCTGCCTAGACAACCCGCTATTCTATGACCAGTGTGTACTGACTGGGCCCCGACTGAGCCTGACTACCACATCATCTTTTGTTCAAGCGACACCATGGAGCAGACCATGTTCCAGGTTAAAGATAGTTGCATCGTCGGTTCGCCACATGGGAGAAGCGGGTAGTGGTGTCGAGCTCATGGCATTGGCCTCATTTCGAGGGGAGATGTACGGTGTCGTGGACATAGTTAACAGCGAGGCCTAAGAGTTTGTGACTGTCCACGTGGTCGACGGTGGGGGTTTAGACCATTGCTGAACGAGTTGGGTCGTACCCTAAAGGTCAAGATGGCAACGATCAAGTGTGTGGCATGGCACGAGAACTATCTGATCGAGGCACCGGACGGCAGAGGACTCTTGCTCGTCATGAAGGCGATCCTCTCGATGGCGGCGTGGAATTTAAGGTTTTTCGGGTGAAGGTTGCCGCCAGCGACTGGGTGGAATGTGTGGAGCTCGACAAACATTTCGTAATAAGAGAAAGAATTATTATTATTAAGAGAAAGAATTTATTAAGCCCTTTAATTTTAATAATAAAAATACTATAAAAATTAAAAGTATGATCGTCTAAGATTCTCAATGTGCTTGATAGAGCACATTAACGCGAACTCATGCATACTATAAATATGAATTAGTAGCATAGCATGGTAAATGTACATTTATTGATCTCGCTATGAGTTTTGCTTCATTATGAATTTGTATGAAACGTTAATGTCTAAATCTGCTAGTTACAAATTTGGGTACCGAACGCAATATCATATATAGGTGGATACTTGATCTATTTTTTTCCTCATGTTTAACCATACATTTTGACTGTACTTTTTTGCTTTTGCACCGTACTTAATTTCAATGATAAAGGAAACATGGATATGTTACCATCAAGAGNATTTCAATTTCAATCTCGTTTAGTATAATTGCAATGATTACTCCCCTGACCCCTCACCTTTCCATGTTATGAATTCAAACAAAAACCACAAAAAAAAAATGAAAAAGAAAATTGTAAATACTTATATGTTCCACCCCACCCCCCAATCGCCCGTCTACAGAAACCGTAATTCAAGATCCTCTCTTAAAATTAGGGGTCACCGCCGTCGAATCGCCTGGTAATAAATCGTCCATTTCATCATCCGACAAAGACGACGACCCACTCCAGAAATTCTTGAAAAGAGACTACAAATGGAGCTCCACTCAGGAAATCGACTCGTTCACCATTCACAAGGGTCTGTTCGAAACTATAAGGTTAATCTCCTCGAGGAAAGAAGACTCCGTTTGGATACTGGATTTCAGATTAAAATATTATTCGAAATTTATGATTATGAGGCAGCGCCAATGGTCCGACACAATTAGTACCCTAGAATCAATTTCCAGGAAATTTGCTACTACTCGGAGCCCAAAAAAGAAACCGACTTTGAACTCTCTTGCTGAGGCCGATGTCAGGTGCGGATAATGCTAAAAACTCGTCTCAGTGCAATTCAATGCTGATTGGGGATAAAGCTGTAGTCAATACTTACCCCTATATTCAGGTTCTCTGGGATGCTTTGTTATCTTTAAACAGTTTGTCACCTTGAATTTTCTCCAAGCATTATGTGTTGAGTTAAAGGTTGGAATTTTCTGTGATGATATTATGTGCTCCATTAGTTGAGTTTGATGTGAATGATCTATAATGATGCGTTATCTGATGTTGAAAGTAATATCTTTGTCCAATGAGAGTTGATCAAATTGAGACTTCTTGCATTCATTTTCTCTCGTGCTTGTAAGTTTCGAAGATGAGCTGGTTGAATGAACTTTGCGTGATTCTTGCCCTTGATTGATATTGAATTCTGTAGCTTTGTGCTGATGTAATTATATAAAGTGGTATTTTACTCTGTTTTTACATCAACATTCTTTTGATGACGATTGGTTTTGTACTATATATAATATATGTATGGAATATGTTCACGGGCGTCGGGACTCTGAAATTTAATCAGCTGAGTTGTTTGACCCAAAAAACAAAATAAAAGAAATGAATAAATAAAATAAAATAAAAATCAGCTGAGTTATATGTAGTGTGTGAAATAAAATTTGGGTCTTTGTTTAGGCCTAAATATTTGTCCACCATTCTTGCAATATCCAACAACCAACCACTTAACCAACTGACCTCCATTGTGAGAACTAGGGAAAGGTAATTTTTTCCTTCACTCGATTAGTCTTTACTAGTACGAATCGTTATTAATTAATATTTATAAATTTAAAATGTAGAATCAATATATAATACAATTTACCTATATTAATTTAAATTATGCAAAATTGAATAACACATGTTTATTTAAAATTAACACACAACTCATACGGTGCATGTAGCTGATAATAAACTAAATTATATTAATTTCAAAATAAGTGTCATTTTAAAATTTTTATTCATAAATTCGATTTACTACAATGTGATCTATAAAATAAATATTTTGGTAAAATTTTATCATATATTTAAATATCTATGTGAATAATAAGTATAATCATGAAACTTATATTGTTTAATTAGTCAAAAGGAATTTACTTTCTTAAAAACTATCAAAATAAAAAAATTAAATAGTTGAGTAATTTATTTAACTATAAATAATTGACTATTTCATTTACGTTTAAGTTAATATTGACCCGCAAGTTATGAATAATTACGTATTTGACTTTTACATTTGGAAATTTTCTAGACTTTTTGTCGGTTACCTTATCGTTCAAATTTATCAACTCATTAAATGAAATTAAATTATAAATTTTAAATTTTATCACCAATATTTGTTCAAAGATCTTTCTGATTTTCAAGATAAATACATACCAATTTGTCAATTAATCATTAATATCTCATGTCAAGTTATTATGAGAATATGCTAAAATTTGATAATCTATCACCTTAATTTTATAACAAATCAATATAAAATTCGACTTTCATATTCATATCAAATAAAATTCATACCACCGTTTTTAATTAAACATTATTTAGATTCATGTGTAACCATTCAATTTGAGTTTTTGTTTTTTGGTTCGATGGGAATATTATTGTACCGAATGATTGGACATTTTTTTCACATAAACATATTTTTTTGAGGTATATTTAAAGAAGTCTAAGTAATTAAAAATAGAAGTTAATAATTATGATAATTTTGATAACTACCAAAATATAAATGGATAAATATGCATGCAATTCGGTTGGTTTGATTGATGATAATCTTCATTCAATGAATTTCAATTAATTATTTGGTTTTTTATGCGATACAATAAGTTCATTCCGTAAGAGTTGTGAACTTGTGATAGAAAAATTAAACAATAAATGTATAATTAAACAATATCACGTCTGTTTAATTAATTACTAGTATTCGGCCTGTGCATTTGCACAGATATATAAATAAAATATTGCGAGTTATTTGTATGCATATAATGATTAATGATTTTTGCTAAATTTACAATTAAATGAGCTGAAATCTTTATTTTTTAAAAATACGTTTTTCATATATATTGGATGTAATGTATATTTTGGTATGTATCTTTTGTTGTGAATTATTTGTTATTTATTTAGGAATTTCAAATACGTTTTTTATTTCCAAAAGAAGTTAATTTAAATGTAACCACAACAATAACATCTACTCAAGTTAAATAGTCAACACATTATATGGTCAACCGTAAGTAAATAAAAAATTTAAAATAATTTTTGTAATTTTGAAGTGATTAGTGTTTTGATATCTAATAATTAAATGGGAGGTTAAATAAATAAGAAATAACAATTTTTCGATGAAAAAAACTATATTGCCACATAGGTATAATTTAATAAGTTTTATTAAATACTAATGAGCCAGCAATTATACATATATATATATATTTAGGGTAATGAGATTTGCAAAAAATATTGGATATTTAATATTTAGTTTTTATTACAGTTATGAAATGAGAAAAGAATATGGCATAGTTGATTTGACCGACTATAAATAATATTTATTTTTTATGAGTGATGAGATTTACAAAAAATATGAGATATTTAATATTTAATTATTATTAAAGTTATGATATAAGAAAAAAATATGGGATGTTGATGCTTGGAATTTATATAAAGAATTTTTTAAAATTTTGGATTCCCGCATCTTTTTTTCAGATTTTCGCCTCCTATTCAGATAATTTCGAAACAGTAATTATCTCAACTTTTGGAATTGTAATTTGATAATTATAATTAATTGTTTTAGTTGATCTTTAATTTTGTTATTTTTGCAGGAATTGACCGGAGATGGAGCATCTGATTTTTTATTTTATTTTAAATTTATTTTTTTGGTTAGTTGTATTTGTTAATAATTAATTTTTTATTTATTTTCATTAATTTCGTTTAGTTTACTATGCATAGAAAAAATAATTTCGATTAAAAAATAATTAATGAGAACTGTTGAGAGTAATTAATATGTCTAAAAAAATATGGAAACATTTTCATTTTCATTAACTCGTTATAATTGCAGAATTAATTGGTTGTCATTTTTAAAACACTCAACTTTTCAAGAAAATTGAGTTGTTTTTAATAAAGAAAATAAAAAATAAAAACAAATGAAAAGTAACGGAAATTGGCGGGAAAATGCCACCTAGGTATAATTTATGAGGTTTAATTAAATGCAGAAGAGCTAGTAATTATATATATATAGATGATATAAAAAATCTGTTATTTTTTAATAATACTGATTATAAAAAATCTCAACAAATAAATCTCTCAATCAATACGAAAAAGAGAATTCATTAGGGTGTGATTGTTTATATTTTCTACAGTAAATATCCCACTCAAAACTCAAATTTAACTCAACTTTAACTCAACTATACTATCTCCAATATTATCAATATAATTAAATAATATCAAAAAATCATTATTACACATCACATCAACTTTAATTCACTATTCACACACTCATATAATTTTAACTAACCATCACTTCCAATCATTTTCTCCTACTTTTATATCAAATCAATTTTAATTATTTTAATTTAAATATTATTTTAATATATCCACTAACAACTAACCATACTACTTTTTTTCAAATTTAACTATAGTTAAAAAAAAACTAGTTTTTTACTAGTTGAATTCATATCCAATCACCCCCTTAACTTTTTCAACACAACCATAATTAAATCCCACGTTTTCAAGACATGGTTTAGTTAAATCTGAGTACCAAATGAATATCCCAATATATACCAAAAAGAGGATACATTAACTTTTCCTACACAACCAAAAATAACTCTCACCCACAATATACCAAATAAGAACTGGTTGTATTTGTTAAAACAATACTATAAATTGAATAATATATTTCTAAAATTAGTAAATAGAATTTTTTAGGCGGGAAATAATTACTATTTTAAAAATGATCAAACTTTTATATATATATATATATATATAGATAGATATAGATAACTTGGTTGCAAAAGGTGAGTTAACAAGGTCATAATGAAAGACCCAGAAATTCTATGGTGCCCATATAGGCACCATATGGTGCCATAAATCTCACGATCCAATGTCTAATATCATTTTTATCAGTTCCATAATGGATATTAGACGTAAATGGGATATTGTTATAAGCAATGCCCAAGTGCTTTTTGGAAAAGGAAAGTGGGCCATGATGAGCTCAATTTGGCCAATTTTAAGCCCATCTCAATAGAGACATTGTTATATGTAAATGGGTTTCACCTTATTCTAGAAATGGGCTTACGAATTTGTGTCCAAATGGCCCAATGATTAAACAATTTTAATAGGAATGTTTGGCCCGACAAATGTAGCATTATTGTAATAAAAAAACCTCATTCTTTTCATTATGTTTGGCCATTACACAACAACAACATAGCCTTTTAGTTCCAAACAAGTTGGAGTAGGCTAGAGATGAAACCCAAGAGAACCGTGGTAAGAGAAAACACAAAAGGGCTCAAAATAAAAGGAAAAAATTGGAGCAAAAGAGAAAGAAGCAAAAGATTTGGCCATTGACATGTAGAATTATTGTGATAAAAAAAAATCTCATTACAATTCTTCATATATATAGACTAAGATATAAAAAAAAGTAAAATAAAAAAAAATTATCAACATTATGCAACATTGTGAGTTGTATCTATTATGAACTCTTATGTAGATAAATGTCATTATACATTTGAGTGCATTTGGGTGGAGTATCTTTTGGCATAGATAAGGAGAGCAATTGAAGATGTAGACTCGGGCAATACTTTAACTTTTGTCACGGGAAAGGTAAAATTCTTTAAAAAAGCATTCCTTTATTACCGGTTAAAACGAGAACAAAATATATTCGAAAGACCATGAAAAGAAAGGAGAAAGAAGCTTTAGCTGCTCAGAGAGAAGCCAAGTTTGCACTATCAAAGCTCTCATTGGCGGGAGAAGACATTGGATAAACAGTTTCATAGCTCAATTGAACAACTTGCAGCAAAGCATGTTAGATTTACTATTTTCCCCGCTACTCATTGCTGCAAGAGTCTCCGTTTGAATTATTTTTTGTGGTTGTAACTTTTTGCCCCATTATGGACTGAACACAACGTATTCGAAAAAAGGAAATTAAAGAAGAAAAGTAAAAATGATTTTCCTTTTACCTCACAAGACGAGGCATATCTAATTATCAAATGTTGTACTTTTGTTACGTTGGTTTTTTAATGTATGACATTTCTAATGGAACTATGAATATGTGTGAAATCAGGTTTTGATTTTACGTACATCCAGGAAGACTTGGTTTGATTTCTACATGAATCAAATGATCAATCAATCAACTAATTAATTATTGCATCAGGATTTGATTAATCAGCTTCTTTTGAGAACATAAATTAACAGTCTGGGCCTGAATAGTTTTGTTGTGGGTATCTTTTGCCTTCTGGTGGTCTTAATGTAGTGCACCTCGTTACTTAAAGTGAAGATAGATTATGAAGTGAACAAATTAAATGGAGACACAAGTTTCCAGGTGATTTATGACCTAACAGGTTGACCTGATTTCATGCTCTAAACTAGTGTTGTAATCGAACCAAACAAACCGCGTTTAAGCATTTCGATAACGTGTTCGATTAGTTCCAACACTATCCTTTTTCGTTCATTTCTTTTTTCGAGCAACAAATCATGTTTGAGTCCGTTCATTTGATTTTTCGTCAAAATTAAAAGTGAACAAAGTAAACATGCTCTTGCCGATTACGAATGAGCTTTTGTTCGCGAAGTGCAATGATAGAAGGTTAAATTAAAATGTTTGAACCTTTGAGAATTGAGAAATGACCACCCATGAATTGAGAAGTCCAACTGTCCAAGTACAATCACAATAACAAAATATCAAGAACTTTTAAATTCTCCAATTATCTATTGGAATGAAAATTTCCCATCTTATGATTATTTTATAAACTCCTTCAGGTTTGTGCTAAAAGGCCATGAATAAAGCGAAGCATACACATTCCTTGCAAGCAACGGTCGTCCTTCATTGTTAACAAATTCGGCAAGGGCATCGGCAGTCTTTCCACCTTCATATCTAATATATTAATAACTCAAGAATCTATCCATTTTCAGCTAGAACGGCAAATCCCAATATTGAAGCATATCCCCATTTACCGTGAATTTCACATTCTTAAAAAAGATACTCGAATGATGTATTCAAGAATTTAGAGATGGTGTGAGTGTCTGTATTAGTGCTTGGTAATAAAAAAGAAATAAACTGACAAATTAGATTGATTATTAACATCGCGTAGAAAAGAATTAGAAGAAGAAGAAGCTCAAATTTAAACACTAACAACAACCCCAGTGTAAACAAAAACATGTTAATTACATCGGAAATTAGGATATGTTTAGGACGTGATTGCATATGAGTTATGACATAACTCGACCGGTTATACTCGGTTGAGTCATTTCATATCCAATCGGTTAATTCAAAATTCAAATCAACTCAACTCTCTTACTTTTTATAAATATAAATAAATTAAATAATATCAATAAATCATTCTAACACATCACATCAACTTTAATTCACAACTTATCCACTCACATAATTTTTATTTATAATCTCTCGTATTTTTACATCATATCAACTTTAATAATTATATTTTAAATATTATTTAATTTCAAATATACTTGATTCAAAATACTTCACTTTAACTCACTAAGTTGGATCTGATTTAATCAATATCCAATCGTCCCCTTAGTAAATCTACTTTAAAAGCAGCTAGTTGATAAGTTAACTTTCGATCTTACAGCTGACAACTTATGTTAATGGCTAAAAAATTAATTGATATTGTAGAACTGTCTGGTAAAATAACCTTATTAGTCAATTGAAATAAAAATTTTAACATCTATATATATTGAAAAAGAGAGGTAGATAAATAAAATGAAGAAAGTTTTTAAAAAAAATGCAGTCAACCAAGTTGACTTACTGAATATGGCAACCTTTTGAAAACGTGCATTTCAAAATTTTCATTCCTTATATTGCAGCTGAATCAATTTGTCATTTCTTATATTTAGCATCACACGCCTCTTTAAAAACCAAACAATTTGAAATTGCAATTCCATATTTAAAAACCCTTCAATTTGAAATTGTGATTCCATATTTTACGTGAAAATCTCAACTAAAATTCCTAATAAGGGGCGGGTGTTAAATCTTATCAAAATCAATTTAATATCTTATAAAAAATAATCCTTCTTTATCGTTAACAATTTAGGGAATATTATCTTAACAAAATCTTCCATATTTTACGTGGGATGAATCAATTTGTCATTCCTTATATTTAACTCTACCAAACCTCTCATTTTCCAAATTCTCAACCCCACGATACATTACAGCAGTAGCGATTAATGGAATAATATATTGAAGATTTATGCATCCATCGAGAACTTGACCGGCGAGGCTCTTGCCTGGTTCGAAGTCAAATTTCCACCAGAAACAAGGACCGTCAAAATTAGTCGGTGGATCCGCCTCGCCCTGCCGTACATGATCGCCGCCGTGGTCCTGAGGAGGGACTTCTGCTTCTGCCGGTAGTGCTGCCGTGTCGAGGGAGGGTGAGGATGATGAAGAACCTAGGGAGGAAGTTCCAGATTCTGAGGAATGTGTTCGAGAGCGGTGGACCATAATACTCTCTATTTAATTTTTTGTGCCAAAACAGAAGAACCCAAGGTATCCACTTTTAATTCTTTTTTTTTTTTAAATAAAAATGGAATCTTTTTTAGGAATCATTGGAGGTTTTTTCTTCAAATGTTTTTGCAGGCACGTTTCGAGAGGACGAGAACTTGATCCTCTGGCAGGAGAACGACAAGCTACGACGGAGAACATATTGATAAGGGAACCGATAAGGAACTCCATCCGAGAGGTCTTCCACGCTTGCGATTTAACAAGAAAGAGAATCTGCATGTTGTTTCTACTGCGGACAATGAAATTTTATTGGCAAATGTTGCTGGCATGAGAGCCTTAAGGACTGTTGAGGCCCCACCTTTTGATGCAGTAAGATCCCCTAAGTTGCAGCCATTGAGGTTCTTTTTTTTTTTCTTCTTCTTTTCTATACATTTTCCTTGATATTAAGCTGATAGATCATCGTTGATGAAGTGTGTATGTGTGTTTTAGGGTATCGATTATGTGTGTTTCAATATTTTATTTTTTAAATTTAACAATTTTCGAATATCTTTTTTGTCTTGAAGTGATTTTTTTGTGTGTGTGTGTGTGTTCTTTGTATGAGATCGACTGTGGTGTGAATTGTTGGCCCGAGGTACATGGGTGTTTGCTTCCGATGGAATGGTAGATGAATTTTTTCAGTTTAAAATTGCAGTGCATTCAACATTCAGTTCGGGCTCATTGCACTCTATTGGTAGTGTACCCCTTTTCAGCCCGGGCTCATTACACTCTATCGGTAGTGTACCCCTTTTCACAAATTTCTAAGTAAATTCTTGAAATTTCCTCCAATTCTACGTGTTTTGATCTCCAATCCTCCATCTCAGTTTTGTTTCAAGGCGTTCATTGGTGCAACATTATAGTTGGTCAAAACGTAAGTTTTTATTGGGCTCTATAGTGACATTTTACACCTAAGAAGAAAGATACAAGACTCACTTCATATAGTGAAAAGAGAATTTTAAAAAATTTACAGGAAAGTTGATTGTTGGTTGTCTCTATCTCCAAATTCTATATATAATTTGAAGTTCCATTCTAAAGAGTACACATTCTAAGGAGTATATAAACCTGAGTTCTATCTTGATCTTATTAGATTGTTTTTATTGCAGGCTAGAGCCATGCTGGGTGATGCTTTTCTCATCACTTGCCACATGTTTTTGGTATGATCTATTTAAAAAAAAAAAGCTTTTAGTATGTGATACTCTCATTCTGGTTATAATTATGCACGCATCATTTGTTTACTAAACAAAATTTCCATTTATCATATTGCAAGTCACTTATGGTCACAAGATTGAAACTATTTGGTTTTTCCATGAAAAAATCCCTATTATTTAGCCAACTATGACATCCATCTCTTCATTTGGTAAGACCTCAAGCGCATAGTAAAATGCAAATCATTTTGTTGAAACAGAAATGTGGTTATGTAATTTGCAAAAAAAAAAAAAAAGGCGTACAATTTATACTTCCCACTGCTCAGGCATCCATGAAACTTTGATATTATGTGCCATAAGCAAAGGTAGAATGGTAAGAAGGTGGTTTATAGATAACTTGACCATTTTAGATAACAAAGGAATGCAGCTGGAGTTTTATCCTGACATTTGATACTTGGTTATTGTCTTATGGAGTACAATATAGATGAGGCTATTTGTAATGGTGTCTGTATGCTTTGTATGGCATAATGTGGGTAAATGAAAACGTGAAACTCTACATGATTTGTTGGTTTGAGGATGTTGTGTTTGTTGTAAAGTCTGGTCTGCAACACAAAAGAACAACGCAAACAGCTTCAATATCACTCCTCACAATCCTCCCCGTACTAACAACCGTAGCTTCAATCTCCCCTAATTCAGAAGATCCAAAAAATCAACCAAAACCAGATTACTAATTAAGTCAAAACTAACTTTAAAGGTGGAAACCTCATAGTCACTGAAATGATATTCCCCAATCTCGAAGCACTATCCTTCGCCGCTGCTGTCGCCATAGAACGACGCCCTCCGTATAATGCTTGATCTGTTTCCTCTCCGACGGCCACCAAGAACAAGTTCTAGAAAATTAGGGAGGAAAAAAAGTAAATTAAATATAAAGGGAAAGAAAAAATGAAAATGGAAAACAAAACTGACAATAGCTAATATATGGGATTTCATGAGGAAAGAAAATAGGTCTCGTAATCCATAATCGTGATAACAGTCCCAATTAATAATGATTTTTTGTTATTTTTGAAAACAAAAACGGCCTGTATATATATACACTTCCAACATGCAACACTAAGAAGAGAAACCTTAATCAGAATGGTGTCTCCTCGGAAAATCTGAAGTTTTTCCATGGTGTTCGGATTGAGAGAGACGACGGAGTTGTCATCATTGACCGCCTCATCTACAATTGGCCGATTTGCCCCCTTATTCCTCTCTAAAATCGCGGTCTAGAAGTCTTTCCCACTTTTCATGTTCAGAGCAAGAAAAGGATTCAGATTACTCGAGCCGATCACTTGAACCAAATAATAAAGACGACAA